CAATTATAACTATTCATTTTCCTATTAATCATTTTTGTTATTTTTAAGCTGGAGCCTACACTTTGCTTTAATAAACGAATCTCCTGTCCACGATTGTGGAAGCTTTACTAAATGGTCGTTTTTGTATGCTATAACTATAATAAGCCATTCGGTCTTGATAAAAAAAACTTTCGTTGGTTTTATAGACCGAAATCTATTCAGGGAATTTGTTATCCAATGGATCTGTGTCAAGAAGTCCTCCTTTTTACCACCCGCACGATAGTAAAGGGGGTATTGCATTGGGTTAAAAAATGACCGCCCACTTTTTTTTACGAAAATACACGTTTTTAAGCACCAGGAATCCGAATCAAAGAAAATCTCGATGATGTCGTCTGTCGGTCCGTCTGTACCTTCATTTCCGGCTAAACAGCTGAACTCAAAAGAATGATCCACATTGCTCATAAGAGGTACATTAATCAAATTGAAATAGATCTGCGAAAGAATTCCAATAAATTCTGGAACTACATCAAGTTGTTGAGGAAGAATAGTCAACTACCTGGAGCTTTTGAGTACAAAAACACCTCGTTAACGGACGCCAGAAGCATTGCGGACGCCTTTACATCGTTCGAGACAGTCTACACTCTTCAGAGGAACGATAACCCGGAAGATGACGTGGAATCGGACCTGGTGTTATCCAAATTGCACTTGACTCAGTTACATGAATCCGAGATACTGGAAGCAATTAAAAAATTGAAACCGAGGTCGGTTATGGGCGAAGATGGAATCCCACCCTACATCGTGAAATGCTGCGCATCTTTATTGGTAACCCCCTTACTACATCTATTTAATTTAGCTTTGCAAACATGTACATTCCCTGACGCTTTGAAATGCACCAGAATAACACCAATTCACAAAAGTGGAAGCAGAAAATTAGTTGAGAATTATCGCCCAATTGCAATTATACCAGCAATAGCGAAGATTTTCGAAAGAGTGATCTATACTAGACTTTATTCCTATCTCAGCAGTAGAATTGCAGATCAACAGCACGGTTTCACGCGGAACAAATCAACGATTACTCATTTCTCAGCAGGAGCCTTGGATGAGAGAGCCCAGGTAGACTGTGTTTATACAGATTTTGCGAAGGCATTTGACACAGTATCCCATCAAGTCTTGCTCCGTAAACTTGTTGTAAATTGCGTAAGTAATCCGACCGTCAAATTCCTGAAATCAAATGTATCTCTCCGTAAAACAAGAGTGAAATTCAATGGTGTGAATTCAGCCGAATGTTATCCCTCATCAGGCGTTCCTCAGGGAACACTCCTTGGTCCTTTTCTGTTTCTCTTATACATAAATGATTTACCGCCAGTGCTATCTGCGGACGACCTAAAACTTTTTAATAAAGTCCAATCCGCAAGTGACTGTTTAAATATTCAAGAGGACATTAACTCAGTAATTAAGTGGTGTATCAAAAATAAACTAAAACTAAATACCAATAAGTGTAAAGTCCTTACTTTTACTAGATCGAAAAATCCCTTACTTTTTGACTATAAGATGAATGGAAAGGTCTTACTAAGGGTCACCTCCGTTAAGGACCTGGGCGTGTTTTTCAATACCAACCTTAACTTCAACTTACACATTGAAAACCTAACAAATGAGTGTTACAAACTTCTTGGTTTCGTTATCAGAAATACACTCAATTTCACGAATATACAGACAATGCTAACCTTATATAATATAATTATATTATTAGATCCAAGCTTGAGTATGCTGCATGTATCTGGTCTCCTCAAACTCTCAAATACTCAGACATGATCGAAAAAGTGCAGAAAAAGTTCATCCGAGTATGTTTTTTAGGTCAACCCAAAATTATCCACATTTGATCTCTTACGGTACCCAGCCTAATTACTTAAATAGTAGTTTCGGCTTAAATATAACGAGGCTAGAAACCCGACGGTACATTGCCTCCACAATTTTTGTCTTCAAAATTTTACACAATTTGTTAAACTCTTCCGAATTACTTCAAGAAATTAAGCTTAAGGTACCATTTGTTAAGCTAACGCAAAATAATACTATTTTTGCAGTTAACAACACAACTTCCACACTTTAAGATCTTGATCACTTTAAATAAGTTGTCCTCAGTTAATAGTATCGACTTTTTTCACGATCCCCTAAATTCAATAATAAATCAAATTAGATCTTAAGTCCTAATATTTGTTCAGAGCCCCAGTGCCATGTAATTGGAATTTTTATTCTGTATGGTTTTTGGTTAAACAAATAAATAAATAAATAAACCGATTGGAACCAAATTTGGTACACATATTCATGGCGCATGCGCAGGTGCGTGGGTGGTATCTGTGCTAGCCACAGAAATTTTTCTCACATTGAGTTTGGTGTCAAGGCTTTTCGAATCATGATAAATTTAAGTTTTTTTGATCCCATAATGTCAAAGTCCCATAAGTCAAAATTCGCTATAAAAATGCGTTTCCTCAACGATTTGACACAAGCAGTACTTTTTAGTTTGATTTTGAAGCCAATACTACATTCTCTTCCTTATTAAAAACTGTTTTTGGGCATAACTTTGGATGCATTTTTTAGACCATGATAATTTTAACTTATGTTGATTTTTCAGACCAAAATCTATTAACTTTTGTTCGATTTCGGAAGCAGAGTTTACACTTTTCTTTATTAAAGAACCGTTTATTGAATATAACCTTTGATGTACTTTTTGGATCATATTGATACTGACTTTACTAGTAAATCCGATTCCCAGTCGATTGTTTATAAAAGTTCTTGTTCGTACGATGTTGGAGACTATACTATACGATTGCTCTACTAAGGAATGGTTTTTTGCCTATAACTTCTGATTTAGTTATTGGATCATAATAAATTTATACCTCGAAAATTTTATATTTTAATGATTTTCCACGCCAAAATCTATTCGTAAGATGCATTCATATTTGTTCGATTTGTGACGAAGAATGTGGAACTCTTGCTCACTGAACTATCGTTAATTCGCTATGACTTTTGCTGTAATTATTAGATAAAAAAATGAACTGTTAAGACAATTCGTTTCCGAATCGATATGACAAGAAATCAATGTTGGTTTGATTTTGGGGGTAATATATACTTTGTGCTTTATGAAAGGATCGTTTTTTGGCTATAACTTTCAATGGTAGGTTTTGGATGAGGATAAACTAACTTTTGCTGATTCCATGACGTATCTCCCAAAAATTAGAATTAATATGGACTTACTCGGGACTTACCCAATTTTTGTCGAATTCCTTAGAAATTTACGGGAGCGAATGTTCCTTTCTAATCACCTTGGCCAGGTTTGGGAATAAAAACAATCTCCCTCTATTGTTTAGGTATGTATCTGAAAGCGATACAGCCTATATATACAGTAATATTTATTAAGAAGCAGATATAGGGATTTACGTGTGTTGATTTTCCCTATGTCTACTTTTAAATGACAAAATGTCTCTCTAATTTTATGCAACAAAAATAACTTCTTAAAACAAATAAAGATCATATTAATTTATTTAAATATTTTGTTGATTTGGCTTCACAGAAAATAAATCTCTTACGCTCCTTAAACTGTTACCAGCACTATACCAATTGACAATATCAACTTTTTTCTTCAGTTGAATACATTGCATACGAACGAAAATAAAAGTACAGAAGCCAAATGAAGAATACTGTTAGAATTTTATTTAAGCGGGATGCAGAGGAGACCTTTTCCGAGAAAAACCCATTACTGAAGGTTCCCCCCTTCCTGGCGATTAGGTTATCCTGGTCCTTTTCCTCAATGACGAATCCTATCAGCCTTCCTTGAGGTTGATTCTTTACGGCTGTGTGGAATAGACAGCAGCTGCCTACCTTTGCCCAGGAATCGGCACCTCCAAACGCCGCTTGGCCGTCAGGTTCCCTCGGGACCCACACGGCAGCCTTGCGGAGCCTAGGAAGGTAGTCTTCCTGCACTACCTTTAGGTGTACGGCCTCCCACAATGTGGGAGGTTGCCAACTACCTCCTCCAGCCACTCAAAATGGAGATTTCGACTTGGTGTGCTGAATCATAATTATTAGCAGTTTGTTATGTTAACTAGGATGCCTTATACCTTCTAAAGGAGTTACCTAGACCTAGAAGAAAGTTTTTATTAGACTTTATTACTCAGAAAATAATGCGGATTCACGTAGTAGTGCAGACCTGGCGAAAGGATACACCCTATATAACAAATAAGTGATTTATGTCACGCAGAACCTTGACCATTGAAACTGGAAAGCATAAATTGTCTAATGGAAATGGAAACTAAGACCAAACTTGGCGTAGGTTATGAAGCAGTTGCGGATTTACTCAGGTAGAGGATCTTCCATGGAAAGGATTAAAGTGCTAACAGAACCAATGTGATTCATACATTGATGGTTTGTTCTTTAGAACCACTTGTCTTAAAAATGAACCACGAAACGGAAATAATGCATCAATTTTTCTATGATAAACCCAAAAGTTGGTAGGTCGACGCGTGCTTACTTTCCCGTTTATGCTTTGAATGTGAAAATTGGCCGAATTACGTAAAACGCGAATAAATAGCGAAAACGCGACTTACACTTCCGAACATCTGGCTACAAAAGCGTATCCGAATTACAGCCGGCGTAACCGCATAAATATTTATAAAAATTGATTTTACAACTTCTGCATAATTTATCGGCGAAAATAAATTCCTCCCTACAAAAACGGGACGAAATTCAATTGGACAGTGAAATTTAAGTTACGACCGCAGCGATTTGAGGCATTTCGTAAGGTCAGTTTTAGTGTAACTAGTCGAAATACCTACTCGAGTGAAAATCGTTGTGGTTTAGGTCGTGCCAAGTCTGATTGAATTTATACGCTTTGGTCTTTTTGGAAATTCTAAAACAGTTTAACCTCATTGTTAAGACTTTAATTGTAACTCAAACGCTGACAGCCGGAATTAATAAATTCATTCATTTTTTCAATCGAAATACTAATCCATTGTGGTTTGTTACAGAATATTTTGGATAAATTTAATCCGGGAGCACGCCAGATGATCAACGCCGGCAAAGCTTACCTAAAAGCTCTTCATGGTGAGTATACGTACTATAAATATAGGAAGATTTATGACGTTTGCGAAAAGGAGCGTTTTCTCAGAACCAACTTTCCCAACAATGACCTTCATTGCTCAGAGATTAACGTCTGCTTGCTTTTCAAAAGTTGTCAAGCTTGATTTTCCTTGTCATGTTGTAAAAACTACGATACACATTTTCAATTCCAATTATACGAATGTTGAAGACCAATAGGTTAAATGTCACTGAAATGCTACCTTCTTGTCGTTCTTTAAGGATAAATAGCTGCTCTGATTGTAATTGAGGCACTTCAAAGACATCTGCGACATTTCATTTTATTGAATTTTCGCCTTAGCCTTTCAGTTAAATGACTTTAGACAAATCAGCGGCAGTTACAGTTACTATACAATTTCACGTATAGCTGAAATAATAAGGAGCACAAAACCCATCGGACCCATGTCGTTTGCAGTTAGGCTCGAAAGTTTACAACTGACAAAGGGGCATTCTACATGCTTGAAATATTACGTGATTCTTCGCGTGCGATGTTTTTTTTAAATAAATGGAAGGTAAAACGGAAGGTTTACAGTGCGGAAAATATAAGTAATTTAAGGAATGAGACGTTGAAGTTGCCAGGTGAAAAGAAATTAATTTAGGTCGCGTCTTTGTCGAGAATTAGAAATTGTCAGTGTGCGAAAAGAGGACGGAGTTTTTGTTAGTAACTACGCCACCCACTTTTTTCTAATTTTTAAAATGACTCAAGTATTTAAATTTTAAATGAGCGATCGCATTGTTTTGTTTATGCGTCATAAGTACATTTCGTTGCCGCAAGTGGAATAAGGGTTTCGCTCCTGCTTTATTATGCTAATTTTGTTCATTTTCCTTGTGAATTATTATCAACTTTATATAGAAGATTGTAGTGTGGTAATAAATGAAACCTTAAGCTATTTTCATGCTAAACGAGATAGAGACCATCACGAGTTTTGCAAGTTTGCACAATTGCAGCTGATTTTCTTTTCATGAAAATTTAGAAAGTGTGCCAATATCTGTGGTACCTAACATAGAACGTTGATTCTTACGTGTACCGAAACCACAATATCTGTTCATTTTTCTTGAACAATAAATGAGCAAATAAAGGCGCAAAAGGGTTGCATGGAATTTAAATTTTCCGAACTTCACCTTTTTTTAAAATCTGAAATTGATTGAATCTCGAATGATTAAAATACTTTTAAACTTGACTGAAGTTTGACTTCCAGCTGAAAATTTGAGTAAAAGTGACTAAAATCGCTTGTTCCAAAGTAGACTAGCATCCGACTTTTGACCGTCCGGGGAACTGGCCGCTTGCGACTGACTCTGATATAGGTATCTGATATAGGTATATAGTATAACATTACAAATTTTCGACTTTAAATTCAGTAAACTCCGACTTTAAACACGGAAAGTATTAGAGATTTGACTAGAATCTCAATATTTAGTTAAAAAAAACGACTATGGTTTGTAGAAATTGATTCCTTTCGTTGAGATCTTTCATTAGAGTACCATGAAGGATAAAAGCAGCCCCTCCCCCAACCTTCTCCTTTTATAATAGGTCAGAAAACACCCACTGATCTCGAAAAGAAGGTGCGCTGGAAAGTACCATGAAGGGAATAAAGGCATGCGTATGCTAAATCGGAGACCAATTGGTTAGCGCATGTAAAAGGTTGTAAGTTATGTACGTTTTACTCTCAAAAAGTAGCAAGTTCATTGCCCCCCTTCCCCCATTCCCTTAATATCACTTCAACACGGCAGAAGTAGGTCCGGACGGACCGACGGACAAAACGCAAACAATAGCACATTTTTTTAATTCTTAAAAACTGCGCTACAAAAAGTAGGCTATTTTATTTGGAAGAGTTACCTTTGATGGCTTTCCTTTTATTAGCTGTTTCACTTCATTCGTCGGCTAAACACAGGTTCACCCCCTCCACAAGTTTGAGCCTTCCAATAGAAACGTTTCGTCGATATCTACTACTTTCTCATTGTTAATACCCACTTCCGACGCTCCGTCCTCGAGTTATAAGAGACCTCAATGAAGGATGGTCCAATTGGAAAGGGGAACCGGGGAAGTACCACCAGATGCGTCTCAACAAGGCCTACGATTTTTCTTTTGTGGGCAAGTCTAAAGTTTTAACCCCTTTTAATGGCCCAAACTTATATTGTAACCCCGGCGGCCTTTCCGTTTCGGAGATCTGTGTAGTGGAAGTTTTGACAATCGTACCCTATCACTTTCCCTTTGTCTGTGCCCAGTATTGAAGTCTAGAGAGCATATGAGTTACCTCTTGTATATCCAGGAAATGAGTTCTGTCGTTTTCCCAAGAAAGCGTATCCTTCACTTCCGGCCAAAATTATGGAAAAATTGATATCTCTAGCCAATAACCTATCTAACGTAAACGGTAAACCCACATATGGCTTTTTTCCTTCTTCGTAACTGTTTATAAATACCAAAACTTATCTGTTTTTTTTAGATGTCTGCAGACAGGATATACGTCACCTTTTTGACACCAAGATAAAAAAAACATCTTTGAGGATCTTTGTTTTACAAATCTCGCCGTTTCTGTAAGGTTCGGCGCGTTTTTTTAGTCAGAGAAAGGGACAACTTTGTCCCCATTAACCTACGCTGTATGTCTCACCGTTAGCGAGATCTCAACGGCGAGCCACGAACTTGAACCACCCTGTACACTTTCGCAAAAATAAGCGTCTATAGCCATCATTAAAGTTGCGTACGAGGTCTTTACACCTTTACATACACAAAGCGTCTCTTTTTAGCTAATATGCGTTCAGCTACTATATTTATATAAAATTGAAAACGGAACCAACGCAACTGCTAAGTCGAGCGTGCCTTGTGAACCAATAGAAACCCGCATTTATTGTTTTCCGTTTCAGAAAAAAAGGGAAAGAATTAATAGGAGCCGTGAACTCAAGGAGCCGTGAACTCAATTCCGTTCTCCCCCGATTGACTATTCCGCTTAATGTTAACGATTGGCCAATCTGCAATCGCAAATCTTAGAATTTTGTACGAAAGTATGACCTCTTCTTTCCTACTGCATTAAACGCATCACGTAAATTACTTACGGTTCACGCGCATTCCTAAAACCCTAATTTTCTATTAAGCACATTCTTCGTACGTTTATTTTCCGTTTATTTAACTACAGGATTAGACGAAAATACCTGGGATTAGATAGCCGGAGATCTCGACAGGAGGGTATTGTGCAAATTCGCGCGAATATTTTGCTACGCTCCCGGGGGATAATCCGTGAAACTTCAGATATTAGTTTCCACAAATATTCAACGGCTTACCCTATATTAATAAAGTAAATAGTTTGCGTGAATTCGAATTAATACTTGGCAGATACCTGAAACTGAAACGTTATATTCTTTTTAATACTGGCATTGGATGCTTTCTAATGTAGGGCCTTTACAAAGGCGACAAATTGTAGACAGCGTAAAACGATAGAGAAATTCTTTGCTCGCGAGAAAATGTCAATATGTGAGCGAATTTTAGCCTGCAAATATTTAATTTGTTCTTATTTTAGAAAGAGACTATTTCTTTATTCTTCATTGTTATGTTCCACCTATTCATGCAAACATTTCCCAATTTTTGTACAGCATTGTTGAGTAGATAAAGAAGAAAAGTAACGAATTTGACACACGGGAATTCTAGAATTCGAAATTTATTACGGTATTTCCAATAACAATCAATTTACCGGAGTAATTTGCATGAATGGAAGTCATCCATCAATTTTCTCAATTTCGTTCATACGCCTACTGAATTTGGCACCTTAGGTGCAATGCTTTAAATTTCCTTCGCTGAATTAAAATAATCTGCATTTAATACAAAATGGGTAGGTGGTTTGCGTTGCAGTTCACCCTTTCCTAAATGTTATATTTCGCCTATCTGAATGCGTTTTTCACGAATGTCCTGGGCTCTCCTTGATACAAGACTGTATTTTCGCAGCGGAAATACATAAATGGCTGTCAATGAAAAGCATAAGGCTCGCGATTAGCGGAAATAGTTTTTTTTAGTCAAATGAAAAATTGTTACCACCTAATTGTGTTACAACCTCATTATTCTGTTTATTCTCACTCCTTAATCCAAATGATTTTGAACCAATTCTTGTTGCCCGGGTCTGTACCATTTTATTTGTACAACTAAAAAACTAAAATGAAAAGAAAATGTTCTAGCTACTCAATGACTTTCTCTTTTGAGCCAATTAAGCTTCACATGGTTAGCGCAACCCCTTCATTCAATAGGCAGCTGACCTTTTATTATCAAATCCAATTCTAGTGGGTTTCTAAATGGTAAAATACATGCAACACAAAACGGCTTCAATTTCTCAGGGTTAATCTCTTTAGGAATGTACAAATCAACATTTTTCCTTCTCCATTGTTTCTTACTTCAATCAAATCAAACTTATGATGATTTTCTTAATTTCGACATAAATAACGGTACCTGATATAAGACGGCCCTTTTGCAGGGGACGATGTTGGAACAAAATTAAATTAGGCTGGAGATAACCCTCCTTACTGTGACAATGATTTAGAAAAGATGGACAACGGAACTGGGAACTTGAACCTATCGGTGAATTTTCAAAAGACGCAAATGTTCTCTGAATGTAGTTTTTTAACGGTAAACTTTTGTGGTTAAGATGCGACGTACTTTCGCCGGAAGCTCGCTCACCAACGATGGCTTCGGTTCTCCTTTACACAAAAAAAAAGTTTGCTGTGGCTAGCTCATATACTACCTTGTCGGTGTAACGCTGATTTAATCTCCCTACGTTTCGGATTGTGATATAAGTAATTTAATTGAAACATCTGGCGTAACCTGCAAGGAGACTTGTTAATGAATAAGGAAAACCTATGAAAATATAATTTACCTCGAAAGGATACAACCATGCCTTATTCACGTAAATCAAATAAAGCATGTCGCCTCATATTTGATCTCCGTGGAAACCAACCCCTGCAGGCTGAGTTCAATGTACTGTCATTCT